TCTCTCTCTCTCTCTCTCTCTCTCTCTCTCTCTCTCTCTCTCTCTCCCCCCTTCTCTCTCCCTTCTTTTCACCCCTCCCTCCTCTAGACCCTCTTTCGCCCGCTTTTGCCACCTCGCCTTCCCTCTCCCTCTCTCCCGTTCCCTCACTTGGCGTATGACTAACCCCTTCTCCCTTCACTTGGAAACATTGCCAGGGTATGGACGGTAAACGAAATCAGACTTCACTTGGTGGAGAAAGAGGGCAAGGGGAGGATATCCGGTCTCTTGTGCCACCAAGGAGGCAAAAGAGAGAGGACATTTGGGAAAGTGGGAGAAAGGCGGGATCCAGAAGGAAGCATAAGTTGAGAGAGAGGTCAGTTTGACTCAACCATTTCCCCCACCGCATGACTATGAGAAGAGGATAGGCTGATTGAGCAACAAGAAAGGAACAAAGCACAGCCAAAGAGCATGGAAAAAATAGGCATGTGGGAAGGGTTATGTGTTGTCCCCAACGGGGGACATTGTATGGATCTCCTTGCTTGTGTGGGATTGTGCAAGTGAGTAATGGCTAGAAATGCCTTGAGCGGGATAAGGGCGAGAGGAACTGKGCATCAAGAGGGAAAGGAAAGAGGGACAAAGGGGCTATGGGACCCTTGACATAGAGCCAATTCATTAAAATGACTTTTGTACTTGAGACTTGGAAGTGTGATTGAGAGTGCAATCGTACCAAGGAAAATGTAATGTTGTGTGTGCATGCATATGAGGACCCCAAAAAGACTAAGGGGCCTACTTCAATAAGGTGGGAACCAAAKTGTGAGATCCGATGGATGCGTAGAGGCGAGGGGGAGGACGGCCCCGCCGCACCCCGATGACGCCATATAGCCAAAATGCTTAGGGAAATGGTGCGTGGCCTAAGGATGACGCTTAGCCTACGCACAAGAGAAGAGAGACGCTCAAAGAACCCCTGGACTGCCTACGTATTGGAAGGAGCAATTGCTTGAGAACACAATAAAGAATAAAAAAAAAATCAGCGCTGCGGAAACGACCAGCGAGACTACCACCCGGCGTGAGAGCTGAGCTACATTCCCCATGTCAAAGCTCTCTCGCGCGATGGCCCACCCCCATCCATCTCAAAACACTAGGTGGGGTGACCTTGGGACGAATGGCCCGCGCCCTGAGTATGAGTGTGGGCGGGCCGAGCCAACTGGGACCCGCAGGGTGGTCGACTAAGGCTCGAAAGTCTACCGGGGTTTGGCACTACACCGTCATGCAGTTGCATAGGCGAATGGGTCGTGGAGGGCAGTTCATATTGCTTGTGGTCGAGTTGGAACAGGATCTTGTCCACCGTGTGAAGGACGTATGCGCTCCTTTGGGCCAGTCGTTCGTGGACATGATCATGAGGAGTGTGTAGGCCTGCACACAGCACGTGCTTGAACCGACTCACTGCGCAGGGTTCTTACTGAGCCCCCGCAGGTGACGTGTTCACTACTTTTCGGGCAAGGTGGAGGAGTACCATGCTTGGCTGGTGAGGCAAGCCAAGAGGTACATTCTGACGCAGACGGGTTTCGAGTTGGACGGTGTGGAGTACATCACTGCCTGTCAGCAGTTTGAGGACTTCCACATGCAGCAGGGCAGGTTTGGTGATTGGGGCGGGGCGGAGGGGCGTGCTCGTGGGCGTGCGTGTAGCGGCGACGCCGAGATGATTGAGTGCGCGTCGTGGTGGCTCCAGTTCGGGGTTGGCGCGCAGGAGTTGCAGAGGTGCGCTCTTCGTGTGATGCACATGTGGTCCTGCGCCTCTCCGGCGGAGAGGAACTTGCCAGTCCATGAGGGCATCCACACGAAGAAGCCCAACAGGTTAGCCTTTGAGAAGGTCGTGCAACTCGTTCAGATCAATGCAAATGTGCGGTTGATCGAGTACCAACGGGCAGGACGCGGTTATGTGTAGCAGGACGAGGGCATGCTTGACTGCCAGGCAGGACTCGAGGTGGAGTCTGTGCGCATGGGCACGCGCAAGGGGATGACGCAGGAGGAGATTGCCTAACAGGTTGCGCTTATTACGCGTGATCCCATCGGGGCTTCCGCACCGCCCTCCGCTGATGCAGTTTTTGAGAGACGTGCTTGCATTTTCCACCCATTCCCCACATACTATGACTCGGATAAAGCGCAGGCACCCGAGGCAGAAGATGACCCCGCGCTCCCCATTCCTCATGAGATCGACAAAACGCACAAGGATGCCGATGACGTGGAGACGAGGACATAAACCGCACGACGGGGCCGGACGGGCGACGGATCAGGCGGAGAGGGAGATGATGGAGAGAGACGACGATTGTTGGGGGCCTTTCGGGGGGGTCGCTTCCACGGGTCATGTGCTTGATGACAGAGTTGGGGGCTCTCATGCAGGCACGAGCCGCGAAGAGGCGCGAATGACGACTCATACTCCAACGAGGCGAGATTCGTCCATTCCATCAACTCCTGCTCCGAGTCCGGCACCACCATCGCCCATCTCGCCTATGAAACCGCACGTTCATTAACGCGGGTTTTCCGTTCAGAAACTGAACGAAATGCACGCGCCCGAACGCGGAGTTCAATTCCGCAAGGGGAAAAAAAACAAAAACCTAAAAAAATTCTGAAAAAAAACAGTGTTATGAAGAAAAATAAAATAAACAACATTTGCTTGAGCATTACATCCAAATTCGTTACCAAATTGGAAATAAAAACAGAAAACCAAAAATAGAAAAAAATAAAAAGAGAATTGAAATTAGTGAGTGCGCGAGTACGTTTGTGACACCGCCATCTTTGGCGATTTTTTATTGTTTTTTGGCAGAGCCAAATGCCCTAAAAATTTACAGATGTGTACTTCACATTATGCAAAACTCATGGAAAAAGACTCAAAAAGTGTAAAAAAATAATAATTTTTTTTAGGTGGCAAAATAAAGTGAAAACAGAAAATAAAAAGTGAAAAAATGAGTGGGTGAACACGATTTGACACCGCCATCTTTGGCGATTTTTCAATTTTTTTTTCCTTAGCAAAATGACTCCAAAATTAACAAGCATGTACCCCACATCATAGAGAACTCATAAAAAAGAAATCCGAAAAAACAAGTTATTTTTAGGCATCGAACAAAAAAAATTAAAAATTAAAAAAAAAATAAAAAAAATTAAACGCCGTTCAATTTTGAACGCGAATTTAAACCCGCTTTCAAACGCACATTTGAACGTGAACGCGCGTTCACGACGTTCAAACGGTTACATAGCGTCTCCCTACTTCAGCAGGCCATTGCAGTGGCGAAGACAGAGGAGTTGGCATACTTTTTGCCTCAACACGAACTTCTGCAGAGATCTACAGTGGTCCGCCAACTGAGGTTACGATCCCCGAGGTTGTTGCAGGAGGAGGGTGGCCACTGTGCCACCCCGGCGGACAAGGGGGGGGGCAGCCCGAGCGGAGGAGGAGGTCGCAAAAGTGTCAGCGGTGGAGGGGGAGGTAGCAGCGGCAGAGGAGGAGGTACCAGCAGTGGCAGTGGGGGAGGAGGATGTGCCAGCTGCAGCGACAATGAAGGGGGAGGTAGCAGCAGTAGCAGCAGCAGTCGAGGAGGAGGTAGTGGCAGCGACGGTGGTGCCAGGCGTTGATATGGAGCATGATGGTGTGGATGCCACTGAGGGCGATGACGATGCCGAGGAGCACCTAATGCAGCAGTTTATCATGGAGGATCGCGATCTAGTCGTGGGGTTTTTCACCCCGGGTGTGGCGAGGGGGCTGGGGATGTCTCCTCCCACAGGGTGGCCGGGTTCAGAGATGAGGACCCACTTCGACTTTGACATGTCGATGGACGCTCCCCCTAGTTGAGGCAAAGCGGCATCGACGGATCGGGCACCATCGAGGAATGAGGCGGCGGGCAAGATGGGGATGCAAACCCCGAGAGAGAGGACGTCGGCGGAGTTTTCAGATACGGCATGCGACATCATGGAGCGAGAGAGGGCTCGACTTATGCCATCCAGCGACCCGCTTGCTCAGGTGTTCGCACGAGCCTTGGAGGACTGCAGGCGTCGAGAGACAGGGAGAGATGGTGGGCAGCGTGGGGTGGTGGCAAGGGAGGACGTTATGGAGGGAGTGGCACCAGAGGCGGAGGAGGTTGTGGAGGGTGGTCCACAGGCGGTGGATGAGGCTGTGGAGGGTGGGCCACAGGCGGTGGATGAGATTGTGGAGGGTAGACAGGGGCGAGACGGGGGGCTGGCGACGCGCTGCCCATAGTTCAGGAGACAGTGACGGGTCCACTCGTCCCGTTCTCGGGTCTGCACTTGGCCCAGGCCCGACGGTGGCAGCCGGTTGAGGTGGCAGTGCATGATGTGCCACCTGTTATTATCACGGATTTAGGGTCCGAGCCGATGTTTGTGCCTCACGTCCTCAGCGACCGGCTCCTCAGGAGGTTGATCGTCCATTGGATGCAGAGGAGTTGGAGGCGGCCGCTGCCTGCGATGTAACTCGACTGAACCGGCGGATCTTTGACCCGAGACTCACCCATCTACAGTGGCAGACGATCCCTTCCGTTCCATGGGGCCCTGCGTCGCCAGTGTGGTCCAGGTCTATGTCCAACGGAGGAAGTAACAGGGCAAATATTCCGAGGGGTTTTGGGGGCGTGCATGAGAGAGCGCCATGTACAGGAGACATGCCACCCCCTCCTCCTAGACCACTTGAGGGTGATCCATCATCGTCGCCCACAGGCCGAGGCTCTCGATTCCCACACACGCCCGGGAGATCGAGGATTCGTGACATGACATCGGTTGGGCGAGATGTGTGCGACACGATGTTGTTCGGGAGGACAGATATAGATTTGGATTGTACCCGCTGTGCCACTGAGCTCACTGCACGCCGTCAGCCGGGTTCAGGAACCCGGGGCGCCTACGAAACACCCTCGGTGGCGGACAAGCGCGGCCGAGTCCGCGACTCCTGCGGACGCTCCACTTTGCGGACGCGTGGCGGCCGGTGGGGAGGGGGGTTGGGGATTTGGAAAGGACGCAACCCGAGCCCCACCCCCTCAAACAAAAAAAAATTAAAAAAAACTAATTTTTATGTGCGGGGGTTTGGGTGAGTGATGGTATTTCAAAAATAGTAATAAAAACAAAACAGCGCATTTTTTTTATTTTTATTTTTCGTTGATTGATTGATTGATTGATTGATTGACTGATTGATTGGCCCCACAGGCGCGCACACACACACATACACAGGTAGGACTGTATTTTCCGATGTCCTAGTGGAAGATTCATTCGATTTTGCTTTCTTTTTTTTTTCATTGATTGATTGATTGATTGATTGATTGATTGATTGATTGATTGAGTGGTGGGGGAAGGGTCGCAGCACCCCCCCGCCACCCACCATGCGCCCTCAAACACACACACACACATACACACATCAAAACACACACACACACTCTCTCTCACAAGTGCGCTGTGCGCGCGCCGGCGAGGGCGCAGCGGCGGCAGCGCACACGCACACACACACACACACACAC